ATGGCTTGAACATTCATCATCTTTTGCAGTATCACACACCATTTGGTAAACGTAACAACTGAACCTCCTGTTAGGCTTCTGTTCTATATGTAATACAAGGTCTTTGTCAAAGTAAACTTCATGACTGTAAGTCTGAAATGAGAAAAAAAAATTCAGATTGCAGTCTCTGTTTCCACGACTTGCTAATACCCATACCATTTTCTGTGGGGAACAAAAAATATTCAACATTGGTGACCTCCATGATCAGACAGAAATTTTGCGTGGATACACAGACTGTTCTTCCAGATAAAGGACAGTATTTTAAAACTTTCAGAGGTTTCCCACATGCCTATTTTAGGAATCTAAGTGCAATTCAGAGCATCTGATTTAAGATCCTAAGTTGCCTATGCAGTTAATGATAAAAGAGGTGCCAAAGGTGCTGAATATTTCAGATCATCTAAGTTGGATGTCCACCTGAACTCGGACTGTATGAACAGCCCATTCCATCTCTCCAAATATACACACAGTGAGGTCCATGCTTAATTCTGTGCATGAGTAGTTCAAGTTAAGCTAGTGAGACTATTTACAAGTTGTAAAGTTAAGCTGATGTAACTAGCCAGAGGGTGAGTATTCAAGTTGATAAATACTTCAGAAATACCTAAGGACAATCTCTCCCCCAGCCAAAAAACCGAACTAATCAACCCACAAAAATATCTTAATTCCAAATCATGGAGGTTTTCAGATAAATTAACTGCTGTCTGATGGAATACTTAAGATTTTTGAGTTGCAATTATTATTTTGTACAAATCTCATCCACAGCACTTGGCAACACTATTTATATACCTGCTTCAAATCTGAACAAAAATGGTAGGTAAATGGGTATGGGGAAGCGTCAGTGTAAACAAAAGACAGGAATTCTCCTCACCACATCCCAGGACTCCAGTAATGGAACACTCTTAAGTAGAATCCCATGTTCATTACAATGAAAGTCAAGGTGAGCTTTTCCGTCAGCTCCTATTTGAGTAACCGCCACAGTGGATAACAAATCCAATTCATCTTCATAGTCCACAATTTTGAATGTCTTAGGAAAAGCAAAACCTCAAGTTTACAAATCAAACATAAAGTCACATTCCCCTCTACCTAAATTGCATAGCTCTTTTTCTTTCAGGTGAAAGTAGAATTGGAAAAATTGTAGTTCTTAAGTCTTCTGGTCTGATAAAGAAAACTTTGCCAGCCTAATACCCAACGGGCATCTTTCCCAACACAAGTTGTCCCATGTATTTCAGCAAAATTCCTTAAGACAGGAGAGAAGAAAGTTATGTTCTGAACAATCCTAATGTGCAAGTAGATGTCTTTTATATAAATGATACAGGAAATAGAAAAAAGTACTTTTAAGTGGCAGAAGAAACATATTTATAACTCCATGCCCTCTCTTGAAGCAGACATGTTAAGAGACCGTATAGCTTAAAATCATTACTAGTTTTGAGGGGACGGGTATATTGGGGTAATTCCATTCACATGAACACCTGGATATTCTGTTCAGAGCTCTCTCTCGCTCCACAGAGTATGTGACAGTGAAGAACTGAGAGCAAAAGGTGGAGATTGTGAACTGCCTTAATTGCGTCTTTCTCACTGTCATGAACCTGGTAACATACTCTTGAAATTCAAGCCAGTCTTTTTCTTCCATAATGGAAAAGTATCTACTGGAATCACAAATAAAGCAGGAAAAAAAAAAATAGTGTGCAGACTCTGATTTTTATTATTTAAAAAAAAAAAAGTGGATAGAAATTAACTGCAGACCTTAAGGGTTATTATATCGGACTGTCCTGTATTTTTACCATAGTAAAATCTATTTTCTCAGAAAAAGGAATAGAAATGACTGCCAGAAACTGATGAGTTTTAACTGTTGTGCTTATGTCAATTACAGCTCCAGCTCTACATAGAGCTAGAAAATATTCTCCATAACCTCTTGAAGACTCAACTCTCTCAAGTGTTTCCACTCTCAAGAAGCAGTTACTTGAAGTGTTAAAATACCTTATCCTGCAATCTAATCAAAGTAATTGGGAGAGAAAAATAGTTTATTTATAGAGATACTGTATCAAAGACTAGAGGAACCTAAAGCAGAGGAAAAAAGAAATATGTTTCTTTCATTTCATAATATGCTTTATAAGAAATGTTTAAAGGAGATGTTTGAATGGAGAGAAGAGTAATGGTTCGTAACATTAACATCTCATTTCTGTGCCACTGAAGTCACAGAGTTATGACAGTATCATGGGGTGTAAGATCAGTTCTTAAAAGAAAAAGACTATCCAAAGCACAAATGTCAACCAAGGAGAAAAGACAACAGACAGAGAGAGGAAATGAAGTAATTAGAAGTTAAGAAGACAAAGACAGTCACAGAAGAAGAATAAAGAACTCAAAGATTAACATAGCTAATGGTTACAGCCACTGCACCTGGAATAAGAACAACTTCTAGCTCGCTAAACATCTTAAATAATCCATGAACTGCTCTTACTCACTACATCAGTTACCTCTTGTTCCGGGTCGTCATCCAGCAAGTTAAAACGCTTTTTCACCACTCGACCAGAAGCTGTTACGGTAACAGCATTGTTCACCTTTGGAGAAAAAGAAAAAAGTGGCTCTAGACTTTGGCGCATTTTAGTTTCTTCCTATCTAGTTAACAATTTATCTATTTCATGTCTTTTGCTTTCTGACCTTGTTTTAATCTCTCAGATCTTGTTTTACTCATTAGCTATGCACGGCCCTAGTGCTGCTATCTCTTCTTTATGATGGTTCATGAACTCGGTCACTTTAGTTGAGATATTACTGATGTTTACTTGTATTCAGAGGTTCCCAGTCCTGTAGAGGTGGCAAAGGTTCTCAGCTACCATAATTTTTAGAACAGAAGTGACTGGAGCCAAGATGCTGGAATGAGAATTAAGACAGCTAAGTCACCACCAATTTGTTTCTTAAACTCTTACTTCCAGAAGATGGGGAAAGTAGCATCTTAAACCACCACGGTTGCTTCCACTGGGCATCATTAACACCAGAAACATTCAAAACTGGGGTATCAGTGTCTTAATGGAAGTCAAAAGGAAAAGACACAGCGCAGACAGGATTAGACTCATATTTCTTTGCTTTTATTGCAACAGAAGTTATCTAAACAAATCCTAAAAAAAAAAAATGTATGGCAAGTCATTAGATGACAAAGCTTATTCTTTCTGAATTCAATGGAAGTTTTATTCCTGAGTTAGTGTAGATTTTTAATACACAAACTTTTCTTCTGCAGAAGCTTCAAAATTAGTATCACTGATTTCCAGGGACTTTATGGTATTCATAAACTATAAAAACTTGCTTTTATGTAAGACATAACTTTGCATGCTGAAGCAAAATGACAGTTCCAGGCACTGCCAAAAAATTTTCTTCATGAGTGTGCTCTTTAAACTTTTTGACATTTAGATTGTCTTTGTGATTTTCTATCACAAAAGACTTCATGAAACAACCAAGGTTATTTAACAGCTCATTTCTACCAGAAGGCTCAGATCATCCCCTCGCCACTTCGTTCTAACTTTCTGCACTCTTCTGACCCACTGATGATTCAGTTCTGTTCTGTTCTAGCTCCAGTTCAGCTCACCAAGAAAGCAGAAGAGTACTCACCTTTTCTGCTGGGTTATTATTCTGTTATTTTAGTGCACCGATTTGGCTCAACAAGGGTTAGACAAATGTTAAACCTGTCACAAGGGAGTGACAGATGTGCATGGCCAGGAAAAGAAACAGACTTTTGGAAGCACTGTATTGTCTTCGTTGTCTTATGAAGACTTACCCCTAAGTTACAAGAGATTTGAAACATTTCTAGCATTTGTATGATCAACTTAACTGAGCACCAGAGATGCACACAATTATCACTTGGTGGCACCTTCTTTTGAAGGAAATCTGTCACCATCTTTTAACTATGTTTTATATCAGTGATACGTGGTTATACTGTACGCCATAAAGAATGCTGAAAACTAAAGAAAAAACTGAAGATTTCAGAAAGCTATCCTGAAAGTGTTACTGTTTTCAAAATTTGTTTCATACAGCTTAAAGTCTAATGAAGACACGGCATGTCTTTCAATAAACTTTGAATTAAGCGCATAAAACACATACACAAAACCCCTGTGTATTGCTCAAAATCACACACTGTGATCTTGGACACTAAACTCACAGAGTTTTCTCTGTTGGCCACAATCGTAAAATCTTCTGCGATCTCCATTTGATCTGTATTATTTTTAACTTCCTTAAGCTTCAAGACTCTACAAAACAAACAGAAATTACGAAGTCAGTCATGTAATTCTAATCCACCTACTACAACACTTCTATATTTGTAATTTATATATTTGTAATTTAAAAAAAATCAGGTATGTTAAAACATCAGAAATAACTGAAATGGAAATAAATTATTTCTGTAATTTATATGTATCAGTGAAATTTTAACACAGTGGTCCCTGAGCATTTTTCATATCAAAATCTAGTGTTGCCTGCCAGTGCCCACATTCATCACATTGAAATTTGCAATAGTTTCTACCAGAACTTCTGATTCTGACAAATTAATAAATTTTACAGTTTCTAGGGCTTGATGAGTGTTTTGACCTGCAAACTGTCAAACTACTGAACTTATGCAGTTATGCAGCTTTTCCTCTAATGAAAATAAGATTTGAGACAAAAAGGCTCATACTTTATCAAATTTGGTCCCACGTGGATTATTCTACCTGACATATCTGGATGGAAATATATCCAATCAGGTTCCAGTGAACAGCATTTCATATCCTGTATGCCATTCTTTGCCTGAAGACGGAAGGGAAAGCTTAGAATATTAGTATTTTGAAAGTCTCACAGAGCTAATTAAAGAGGAAATGCCTGTGAGAGCACCACACTGGAAAACAAGGATATTGTTACCTCAAGCACTATTCAGAAGAAGAGATTAAGACAAACGTGATACACATTCATTTCAGAGAAGCTGCTATCTGAATATATTACCAAAGCATTGTCTTTCAGAGAACAAATGTGGAAGACTCCTTTATGCTTTTTCTTGTTAGGTGTGATGATATAATGCCAAGGGTAACCTCCAATTTGAAATGCATTCTCCAGAGAAGATGCTTCAAATAGCAAAGGTGGTGTATCTGCAAATATTCAGTAATGTTACACCATTAGTAACAGAACAATCATAATTCCACTGATCCTTACAATTCTAAATTCCAATAAAACTATTAATTTTTCAGAACTTTTGAAGACTGGTGGAAATACGTTGGCTGTGATCTTTTTTCTAGCACCAGCTATGCCACCTCACCTAGCATCCAGGCACACATCTGCAATTCCCTGTGTAAGGTTACTGCCTTCTCGAATCTTCATGCTGAACTGCTCTTCTGATACCTTTGACTTACTTAATTCCAAATGAGCTGGATAAGCAAAGACGTAGCAAACAATTAAAATTAATCCAGCTCATCTGAATGACAGAGGACGTACATATGAATAGATCAAAGAACATACCAAAAGGGTCACTATTCTCTTGGGAAAAATCGTGATAGATAGCTGGAAACAGGCTAACAGCAGCGATCTCAAATAACAGAGTTAAATGCAGAAAGACACCTGAATCTGAATATTCCTTCTCCTTTTGCGTAATACAACAAAATAGTGTGGACCACAATGAATGCAGTCTGTAGCTGAGTTCATAAAAATCAATAAAAATCTAGGAATTTTTGTAATTAATGGCAAAAGGTATCTAGTTTTCTCTTCAGTTCAGTTGGGATAAATTATACAGATGTAATACGCCATTCTTACAAGCCTTCTATGTACTAAATGAGAGAAGCATCTTTGAAAGAAAGGGACTGCATGGAGCTTTACAACTTCTACCAACTAGCTAAGCAAAAGCAATTTCTACAGCTGCTATAATCAATTTTAGACTGAAGATCAGCTCTTTCTAACAGTACAGAAAAGTGCTGGGAAAAAAACCTGACAAAACGTGGAGAAAATCTGAAATTACCAGGGGCATTTAAACAGGCAGAATATAAAAACCTAAGCTGAATTACTGTGAGGAGAGCAAAGTTCTTATCTGGACTTGTGTCCCAAAGCTCTCATCCAAATTTTGGCTGTTCTTGTCCTGCTTAGTCTAGATAATTATCTAGATCCTAGCCAATGGTGTTAAGATGTCACATGACATCAGAAATTACGTTTACATAGTGCTTCTCTCTTTGTCCTTCATTCATGTTTCCAAGAACATAGCCATTTAGATTGAAAGGAATTAGTTCACTGCCCATGGAAATGAAGTCTCTCCTAAGCTGGAAAGTGTCTGCCTTCCTTGTCTTTTGGACTAACACATAGGAAGTGGGAGATTCTGTGCAAGGTATAACAAAGTATAGGTTATAAAAACTGAGGCACCTGCTGAAAACGTACAGAATGTTGCAGATGGAGGCATAAGCAGAGGACCTACTGATATTAAAATGTCAGAAAATGAAAAATGAGTCAAGAAAATTTGTTAACATTTTACCCTATCAACTTTTTCTTTTTAAATAAAGCACATCTAGCAAGGCCCCTCAAAAATTCTGGTAGATGGACTAAATGATAGATTTAAATGCATTTCAATAATGTATCAATCACAAGTGGTACAGGCTGCTGATAAAATATGCCTTTTTATGTTCATTTGGCAAAGATTTGCAAGACCATAACCACTTAAATCACCCTGATAGCATGACTCTGCTGCCTCAACTCCCTCCTTCCTGCTATGTGTCACTTGCTCTTGCTGCTCAACACCTCCTGTTCCCATTGGTTCTAAGTCCTTTCCCTAGCATTGCCAGTTTTCAATCTCCAGTTGAGCTTCTTTGTTCACTTCCTTAAAACTCTCCAGCCTCATCTAAACATAAAGCCATAAAATTGTTCCTGGCAGCACTAACAAGTATTTGTTCTAAATGTAAAAAGAATCTGAGCAAAATATCTTCCTCTCTGTTTTTTAATGAAATTACTGTATCCTCTAATAATAAATCAAACTGCAGTTTTAAGTTCTGGACCTTTCAGAAACTGACACAATGGAGATTTATAGGTACCTTTTCCATTCCTTCCACTGTGACCAAAATCAAATTCCTTACCAGTCAATAGCTATAAATTATGTGGTAGGTACATGGTAGCCTGTAAGTTTTGATCTCTATACACTTCCTCCTGGGTACCTAACACACCATAAAAACAGCACCGTAATAACTGCAATCCCTTCAGGCAATTTCTGTAGGGAGGCTAGGACTAAATAAGCAGGAAAATTACACATAGTTAAATTATAGTAAACACAAGCTTAAACTCTGAAACCGTTAAAATCTTGCTCACTGAAGCATTACATCACATTGAACAGCCAGTCGGCCATCTCATTCTTAAAAGAAAACAGCTCAAAAACCACAGGAATGCAACTATCTGCAAAGAGCAGCCATGGCAAATGTCTGTCATGTGTTCAAAACTTCCTAACCACAAATTCTTGAATGCGATTCAAGATCAAAAATGTTTTCTCCAGTACAATGGTTTTAAATCTCAAAACTAAAAACTACAGTGATCTGTAAGACATGAGAACAAATCTGGTATAGGCTTCATATTAAAGCTCCCACAGCATGTTTTCCACAGGGCCCCTAACATTAAATTGTGGTTTTGCAGACTGAGAGAGGAAAATGAGGAGAAATTTCCCTTTGCAGAACCTGAGACATGAATTATAGCAGCCTATCACTTTGTTTGATAAAACATTGCACTATAACTGAAAGCCTTCACTATGTAAGTCTGTATTGTATCTTTGTGTATTTCCTCAGGTTTATGTAAATCTAGTTTGGTTTGCCTGTTATTGTCTGATATTGTTTGTGAACATAAAGATCAAAAGCATTTTTTATATGGACAGTCACCTGTAAAAACCATTTAATAAACATTCAAAATTAAAGAAATAAAAGCATGCATTATTTGATATCGGTGAAACCTACTATTTTTTTTTTTTGAAATGCCTCAAATGTGAACTGACAAGAATGTACTTTTAAAGTAAAAAAAACAGTTTCGAAGAAAGTCTCAGGCTTTGGCCATTCATTAAGATTCTTAGCACCAAATTCTAATCTCAAATGCACCAACAGAAATGACTGTTTGGTTTCAGAGGAATTAAAGTCATTACATAAAGCAGAACATAAGTTAATGATTTGAGGCACAAGAATTGCTTTTAATAGATAATTTGTTCTCTCCTCAGGAATTAATTTTATTGAAACTGGCTCATTTCTGACAACTGAAGAATTATCAAAATGCAGCTCAGACAAATTGTATTCTGTCTCCCTAAATTCCCTCTGCAAGTTAGATTAAACGTTCTCACATCTTTTGCTTACATACCGTATACTGTTTCTGGGTGTTTCTAACAGCTGTCCTAGCCCTTCCTCTTTCCAAAGAGCAGCTGTGTCTCAGAAATAAGGAAGGGGTTTCCACTTCATGCATTGCTTATGAAGTTTTTCAAAGAGCTTAGTTGCTATACTGGTTTTCTAGGTAAGTCCTATGTAATTAATTCTTGTAATTAGAAGTAAAACAAAGCACATTTATACTATAACATAAGCCCAGAAATACAGCTACAGCACAATATGAGTACAGTAATTTTAATGTTTTTTCTTGGTGAGAATTAAGTCATAATTAATCCATAAAAGCCACGAGCCAAGATAATAAAAAGATCATAAATACCTGTTATTTTAATGTTACATGGAAGACCAAATGGATACTTTCCTACAACTCCCACCTGACCATTCCAGTTGAATTCACGTCCCAAATCAAATGGCTGTTCCATGAACTAAAACAACACAGAACAATTTAGCTTTACTGATGCATATTTACTTGCCGTTTAGTTTTACCGCTCTGTTACTACTGCATTCTTTATCTTGTTAGATACTGCTTGAAGTCCTATTTTTTAATTAAAGTTTGATTTTTGATTGGAAGAATATATAAACTCAAAAGTCTCACTGCAGTTCTGTTTCAGATCAAAAAGTCTTCTGTGCCCATCACTTTCTAGCCTTAACACTCATCTATAGCTACAGACTAGGTGGGTAAAGAGCACACCCTGGTCTAGCATTTACATAGCTCCTCTCTGTATGCGCTTGAGTGCCTGTCTGACCCTGTATCTCCTATGTTTTGCCACCTGTAACTGGTGTGGGTAGATTTTCTGACAGTGTACCCATTTGCATCTTCCAACTGTAAACAGATTTAGGCAAGAACTCTATCCTTTGACACAGTCTCCATGTACCTATGTGGCATTACATGAATATTTATGATTTGTTGCCCCAAAATAGCATGGACTGTATGAAAAATTTCACATTTCATTACCTGTTCAGAGATGGCCTGGAAGTTATAGAGCCTGACCAGACCCATGCTATACATTACAATCAGGATTCCATTAGAAACAGCAACATCTGTCACACTATTACCAAATATCTGGAAAAAAAAACAAGAAAAATATTCTGTTGGGGAAGAAATAATTGAGACACAATGCAAAATACTGACATTATGTCCTTAATTTTGCAATTGCTTTTTTTTCTGACCAAACCCTATGATCATTGTTTTAGTTGATCAAGTTTTCTGTAACTCATCTGCTCTGCTGAGTTTCTGTGATACTTTACATTGCAGTAACACCTGAGGTTAGATTAGTCATGTTCTGCAAGGAGATTCATTCTCTATTCAATTCTCAGTATATCTTCATGTCATGCTACCCAGCTACTATAATACATGAATAGATTATATTACCCAGCATCCCACAGGAATGCTAGCAAAGCTAACAACTCAATCTAAAAGTACTGATTTCAGATCTGTTCCTTCTTCATCACCAGGGTAAAATACTAGTCTAATCATAGCTCTATGACCGTGTACAGCTGTACTAAAACTACATTATCCAGCTGTCACAGAGTACAGGATCCTCTCTGAATCCAAATTAGACACATACGTGAGAAGCTGACTTACCCCTTTTAACCATTATGCAGTATTCATTTGTGCCACTGCTTAACACATCTCCACTGAGAAAAACCCAACAAACTAATTCTTAGTATTTAATGAATAACAACACATGAAGATTTTTGTTTTTTTTTTTTTTTAATAGAGATGCTTGGGAATGTAGTTATCATTTCTTTAATCTGAATCACTATGTGAAAAAGCAATTAAAAAAAGGTTAAAACAGGCTTAAAAACAATTTAAAAAAAAAAAACAAAACCCAAAAGCTGTACTTCTAAATCTTAACACTATCAATGATTTTGTGACCAGTTTGGTCCCAAAAGATACATTCACTCCTGAGACCCTGCCTTTTATTTAGTCTTATGGCTCTTTCTCAATACGTTTGTTAGCTTAGGTCACAGTGTCTTCCAGACCCAAACTCTAATAGTCTTCCAACCCTAAACTCTCCTTTCTATCCTTGAGACCTTAGCTAGTCTGAACTCAGAATTTGTTGTGGTGTACCATCTCAGTAAAGCTGATGCATTAGGTACATTCTGCAGTCTTGAACAGTAACCCTAATCCTAGCTCTAATCTAACAGTTAGATTCCACTGATCTGTATCAGGTTTGGCATTGCCTTCACTGGTTGCTTCCTCTGCTGGGTGTATTCTCAAATCCCCAATTCTGCCCTGACGTTATTCCTAGCTGTAACAATTACTCTGATGAGTACTCAGTACAGGCTCAACTGAAGAAGTACTCTTCTAGATGTTTTGACTACTATGACCATGACGAATCTGGCATGCTATTCTTAACCAGATTGAGAATACCTTTGATACTGGTAACAACTGTTTTTTCCAGTCCTAAATACTAATTTTGAACAGAACAATACAACAGTGCCCCTAAACTTTCACAGGCCCAAAGGAAAATGTTCAACTCCACTCCTTCATTTGCCAGTCCAATCTCAATTACAGCCTCAACCCAACCCAGCACCAGCTAAAACCCACTACCAGCTCTGGACCCCAAAGGAGACTGTAGCTCACAGAGCTTTGAGGACAGAGTTTGCGTGTTTGTACTGTTCCATTTATAAGTCGTATCCAGAGCTCTCCTGACTTAGACGTGTTTTTTGACCAGAACAGTAAAGCTTGCCATCTGGCCTGAGGTTTCCTAACATATATGCTCTTACTTACAGGTCACAAAATTACCTCAGAAAGGTTGTTTGCTCTTGACTGATAAAGCAAGACTTGTATTTATATTTTGCCATTCAATATCAATGATAATACAAGTTTGAAACATTTGTAACTGCATATAGAATTCACAGACTACTCCTAGGAGTGGATCAGAAGCATATCTATCTTTCTTTAAAGAGGTGAGAAGAAGTCTACAAACACTTTAGGATTCCCTAATTCTTATGATTGCTGTAAGTAAAGGCTAAAGTCCTTCTGCATGTCAAAGAGTAACCCAATAGCACAATGCATTTGTATTTTCTCTTCTGGTCATTCGAATTAAGAATCCTCCCCCCAATGCCCCTATCATCAGACACAAGAACAACATTACTGCTAATTAATGTTTCAGGGCACTATGCTTTTATAAGCTGTAAGTATGACTTCTGAAATTCTGGGACAATTGCCTAAACCATGCCTGTCATACAACTACAGTACAGATCATGATTAATAGAGGAATTAACTTACCTTTTTGTTTATTTCTAGCATTCCAATGAATGAAAGAGGCAAAACTTGGAATACAGCAAGATAGAACAATACAGACTGTTGGATACCTGCCTGAGAAGGAATAACAATACTGAATATAGTTATTATACTTGAGGCATTTATTAACAGTAGGACATCTTTATCTTCTACCATAATAACAAAGCATATTGTCTCCATCTCTACCCTTGTAATTTTTTTTTGATCGATTTTGTAAAATTATAAGAATGACAGATTTTTTCAACAAACTTGCCTGTCGTGCTGCTGCAGGGAGCTTATTCTGAGCTGACTTTACAACCATTACCTCTTGAGGAGTATCCCAGCTCAGATACCTATTTGTGACAAGAAAGGCCTCTCAATAATTTAAAAATAATTTAATAATACATACATTATTTCACATAAAATATAATCTACTATAACTAGGCAGATCCTTATGTCCAGGCAAACTGTTCAGTATCTGATTCAGGGGAGGTGCCCGAGATGTTTGCTGTTTGCAACAACGCAAAACCCATGGAACTAGGAATGGCTTATTCCATACAGGATTGTGAAAAAAATTCTGCAAGTATGAACATTCACTATCTTAATTTTTCTCCTTCCCTTCACAAATCACTGCTTTCTTATCTTTCAGGCTAAAGGAAATAATTTCTTCTGAGAACTAAAAAAAAGATGCCGTTTACCAGAAGCAGAAGTGCTGCTCTGCTTTTAAAGAGCAAAATGGCTACCCTATGGAGAATAATGCTTGCAAGTTAAAAATGACTTAAACTTTAAACATATTTTTTTTACATTTTATAAAGTTTGTTTTACAGCTCTTAAAGGTCCTCTCCCAGTATGTTGCTGCTGCAATATTAAAGGCTGTAAAATTGTCAGAGAAAAGCCAATAGTAGCCTAGTTTTTGTGGCTTTTGTGGAACTTGAAACCAAATTTGAGACCATAATACTTAAGCTGCTGAAATTCTTCTATAGAAAACAGCATGCAGGAACAGGTAATATGCTAAGACTAACAAACCTGAAGTCAGCCATAGGATAGTACTAAAATAAACTTGATTCCCTTTCTCCAGAATAGTGCCAATGATTGTTAATTATATAAAGCCTAGTCAATGCTTAATACCTGAATTTGCAACAGGAACCAGCAAGGTATATTTTTTCCAGTATTTCTCCACTATCAGCAGAGAGACGTAGAAGCCAGTTCTGCACTGTCAAGACTATTAGGGAAGGTTTATAGTCTGATGGACTTGGTAGCATTTCCCCCTACATAACAAAAGGTTATCAGAAAAAAAGTTTGTACCAGAAGGCTACATAACATTTTGACACAGTAACAAGAAAACAAAAGTTAATACACATTCCTCAAAAACTAAAGGTGGAAAGCTGCCTGCTAATCACATCAGGATCTCTAAGCTCATGTCTGCTAAATACTCAGCTGACTATCACATAAATAATCTGTTGTCACACTTTTTGCAAGGCAGTTACCTTTTCTAGAAAAGACACCTTTTAAAACTTCTTTGCCTTGCACAAATGAAGTATAACTGCTTATCGATCTAATTGATACCAGTCTTATAGAGACAATTGTTTATGTATTGCAGAATAAGACATTCAGTGGTAACTCAACAGTAACTGCTAAGAATGGTATTCACACTGTTTTATTTTTAGTCACCTCAAGGACGGGGCTAATACTCTTAAGCTCTATGGACACTGGATGAGAGAAAAATTCTGCAAGGAGGAGGGAAATTATATAAACTATTAGCTAGAAACAGCATAACAGCTTTTGGGCAGAGTTGCTTTAATGGGTCTTCAGTTTATCTGCTTTTTTTTAATGCCAACAGATCTGGTAAAAACTAAAACTCCCACCTACTGCCCTTGCTAATTAAAAAATTAAACAGAATTTATGTTGTAAGGAATTAGAGTTAGCTGCACATGCATAAAGGCACTGTTTTTAAAATCTTCCACGAAAGCTCACAAAAAAACTTTTGAATGTGCTATTGAGAAATTCAGAGAAGTATACCTCTAAACATTCAGTCAAAATAAATAAGCACATTCTATGATTGCAAACCTTAAATGACCTAACTCCATGAAAACACTGAGAAAATAGTTCACAGGGAAAGAACGCTCTATTCTAAATATGTTTCACTGAAAGATATTAATTTAGTTTTGCACGACAATGCTCTATTAAAAAGTAATCTTACCAGTGGGCATTCCAATAATAAAGCATCTTCTATTTTTTCTGACTTAGAACACTTTGGCTTTTGATAAAGTATTCTTGGCTCTTGTGCAATGCTGGAGGAAAATGATTGCTAATCATTAGTCTACTTTATAAACTACTTTCTATCAACAAATCATTTCATACAGTTTTACAAATCCGGCCTTCTCTTTAGGCAGGTCAGAAATCTAAACATCTTATTTTTACTTTGTAAATATAACCTGAAATTGCTCTCAAAATAAGGCCTAATAAACAATAGTTAGTATAAAGTAATATTTAAAAGCTAACCTTCTCTATATTTTGTGGTTTGGTGTTGTGGGTTTTTTTGTTTGTTTTGTTCTGTTTTTAAATAACAAACTTAGTAACATTCTTACTTGAGTGATATACATTAAAAAGAAAGCATATTCCAGAAACTAATGATCATCCTGGAATCTTCCCCTCAAGCTCTTCCAGTGTTGCCCTTTCATACTACAAAGGCGTGGCATCATGCACAGGTATTTAAAAAAAAAACCCTACTACTAGAATAAAAACTTCCCAGTGTGCAGTTTTCCCCTCAGGGAAAGGATGAGACAAAGATAAACCTGAAAGATGCTAGACAGGTTAACCCAGTACTGGAAAGCATTCCGACAATGTATGAATAAAACACAGCTAAATAGATTGAGATCTCTGCTGTAAGTGACAGATTAACTTAATCTCAGCGGTTTTACACTGACAGAGTAATTTGTCTTTTATGTATCATATGACACTGTCTCAAAACTGTTCTGACCGCAACTTTACTCAGCAACGCAGTTCTCCAAATCTCTGCTACCTCCCTCACAAGAGGGATGAGCAAGGACAAGGCCTGGTGTACGCAGGACTTCCCGTCCCCTACCCTGCCCTGTGCTGCCTCCCAAGCTGTGCCTCTGCAGCTGATCATGGAACAGGAGGGTACATCAGATCAGACAACTGATCTGCAAAATACATTAACAAAAACCAGCAAGTACTCTGCACACTGTACTTTTACATGAACAGTAATTTACTTCTTTAATGCAGAATTTATAGACATAGTACCAAGCTTGTTACATAGGCTGATTTTGTGACACATTCTTTAACACACTGTTACTAGATCACAAAGTCCTACCGTTCATTTGGCTTTTTAGTGCAGAATTATAAAGTGCTGATAATCTTCCACTCCTGTTAAGAGTCCTCTGAAAGCTGAAGTTATACTACACCGCTAAGATCACTTTCCTTCACCAAAGCAGGTGTCACATTAAGACACAACTCCATCTGAGTGTAATTTAAGAAAGATTTATGCACCTGGTTATTTTTTCTTCATAAGTAAATTCCACTCAATTCACAGGGGCTATTTGGATGAGTAAAGTTAGCAACATGTCTAAAACAGAAGCACAGTGTTCAAACTACAGTTTGAACTTTTAATTGTAAATTTATTACCTGCTAATACAGCACTGGTAATTGTCTAAGTAAATTCTTCCCCTCTCATATGCAATAGGAGATGCAGAATGAGTTGTCCAAACATTCTTGAATTTAGTACTTTCCTGAAACAGAGAGTGGTTGTAACAGTGATGGCTTTTGTTACAAACCCTGCTTTTGGAAAACATTTTATTTGGCTCCTGCAGTTTAATAACTTACTTTAATTGAACCTTTGCTGTTGAATACATAAAGAAAAATCTTTTTTTTTTTAACAACAAATTAAAATACCTTTTTTAGGGAAATTTTGTCATAATGGCAACTTTTAAAATCAAGGACAAAACTCCCCAGAGTGTAAATATGCACATAACTCTTTTATATGTAATTAATTGAATTTACTGAATATCTGACTCCATTCTGCTGTTGGTGTTTTGTGTGAAAGGTAGAAAAATGTGTTTACAGTTATTTGCAAAAAGTGCGTGAAATGTTAATGGGATAAACTGTTCACATAAAGTTTCTTGTGGGCATTAGAGACATCAGGAGCTCTATACCATTAACAAATGTTCTAGTCTCACACACACACAAAAAAAGTATTTGTGTAAGTCAGATGTACTCATTTTTATCTCAATAAACCTTGCATGCCCATTGATCTAGTTGCTCAAATGGACACTTTAGCTGACTTCCAATAATATATTTTCAATATAACACAATTGCCAATTCACTTCCACATATTCACTTTCAATGCATTGGGAGGGCACATGGGAGCGGTAATTGTTCTGATAAAAAAATAAATCAAGTTCAATTTAGTCTGTAATTGGTTTAATTCCTATTTTTTCTGTAACATAAATTTCACTGACACATTAAGGGTATGTTTACATGAAGACATCTGCTGATTATCTTATCTTGTTGTGAGAACTTAATTCAAATTTAACACTGATGTTCCCTAAAAGGCTATGAATTTAATATTGGAATTAAATATTAAGCCATCTTAGGAGAAGAAATAAGTGATATAAAAGTTAACTACAAGTCTATTTCTAACGTGACTATTAGATTTATAGAATCATAGTATCGTTTAGGTTGGAAAAGACCTTGAAGATCATCCAGTCCAACCACGAACCTAACTGCTTCTGCTGTTTCTCACGGCATAGTCCTCTCTACATTTCTAGGTCTGAGCCTCATGAAATAAATTTAACCATTTCCTACTCTCTTTAGCAAAATTGCAGCTTTTTTCTCCCCACACTTGTTAGTCAGTGACCAGGGACTTCTCAAACAGCTGGGTTGAGGGCCGACGCTCAGACCACCCCGGCTGAAAGGCAGTACACGCAGGGGCTCAGCCAGCGCCGGCAAGCATCGCTGTTACCTGGCACATTATCTTTCTCAGGAGTCCCAGGTTTTTTCTGTGGGCGACACCAGCATCTCTGGCATAAAAGCCGTGGGCCCTGCGGGCGAGGAGGCGGCAGACGTTGCGAG